ATATATATATATATGAAACTCTAATTGGCAACCACAATGTAGTTAAGAGTACCATTAAGTCATTTAGGCCCCATTTACCATGCAATACAAGATGGAAAAAAAATAGTATAAATGAAAATCTAATTTTTACAAACCTTTATCCAGAAATGTTCTTACACCTGAATGCATTGCACCAACTTGTCGAAGGGGTAAATGCAATCTGTGAATAATTAAAATCAATATCATCTCATTGTCAGTTATGACTACAACAAGAATCGTTAAATCCTTCAATTTTTTACAACAATTTTATCATCAAATATGCACAACAAATCACCTTGCAAAGCTGGTATATGATTGATCAACAGCCAAGGGTTGCTGATTTGGTGTTGTAATAGTTAAGGCTTTACCCTGACAATTATGTAAGATTGCATATGAAATATGAGATTTTAGAAACACAAATCAAAGCTTTAGAAAAAAAACTAGTTTTTTCAAGAGATCACCACAGAAGTGTGTTCTTTCAGTTCTTTTAGGGTTGTATGCTAGAAAAAGGTCCAATAATCCACATTATTGGTTCTATTATTCGAGTACGCCTCCCAACATCTCAACAATGTTCCATCGAGTGCTACCAAAATTAAAAGGAATCATAAAATCATATAACTCTAAGAAAAAAAATAAGTAAATTACACGAATGGTCCCTATGGTTGGGGTAATTTGAGTTTGGTCCCTAACTTAATTTTTTAACTCGGAAGGTTCCTACTGTTTGTTTTTGTTGCACGTTTGGTCCCTACTGTTTGTTTTTGTTACACGTTTGGTCCCTGTCGTACCTAAAAAGACTGTTATTTAAATAGAGAAAAATGATGGGGTATGTAAGGTAAGGTGAGGGGTGGGGTGGGGTTGCGGTTGCGGTTGGGGTATGTTTATTTAAATAAATTAAAAAATCAAGGGCAAAATAGTATTTTTAGGTAAGACAATGACCAAACGCGTTAACAAAAACAAACAGTAGAGACCTTCCAAGTTAAAAAAATAAGTTAGTGACCAATAGCACAAATTACCTAAACCATAGGGACCATTCGTGTAATTTACTCAAAAAAAAAAAAGAAAAAAGATGATCCGTTTCAATAAAATACCCAAAAAAGCGTCTATGATCTTTCTTGGTTATTTAAGAAGAAAACAAAGGTAACATTTCATAGTCCAGGAAACACCAACCCCAAAAGACCAATAAAGATTTATGAAGAACACATTAATCAAGATCCCTAATCACTTTATGACGAACAAGAATAAAAATAATGTAAAAACTGAAGATATATATACGTTGTTTGAGATCAATATTTGCTTTCTTGGCAAAATTATGAGTGGCTCTTATGAACCCAAATCTCCTGAATTAATCAAGAAGGTATCTTGTCAATCTGAAAAAACAAAATCATAAAATCACACACTCATATAATAACTAATTACATAATCTATAGACAAAATGCTTACAAAAGTAAAAATAAAATGACTCACAACAAAATCTCGCTTTTAAAATCATCGTTAATGTCCATTAAAACCGAGAATCTGCAAACAAAAATTAAGTGTAAAGATTGGTTGCCATAATGTGTACTTAATATAATGTGATGATAAAAATCTTAAGTTCAAAAAATTTAATTTGAGGAATTGATATTAATTTAATTTAGAATCAGCAAGATAATTGACTATACATAGAGTAGTGCAATACTTCGCGTGTGTCAATTATATATCCCACATATGAGAATTTACAACAAATAAAGCTTATGCAATTTAAAAGTGTAAAACATGCAATTTCCAACAACATGGTGTAAGCAGTAAGAATATTTAAAGTTCAATAAATTTAACGCAACGAGTCCCCTTAAAAATTCACATGAAACTTACCTAGACAATGTTGCCCCTAGCGTTGCAAATATCTTGCGTTGTGGAACTCCTACAAGTATCAAACATGAACTTCTAAGGTTAATTTATACTTATAATTTCAGCTTTTATAAAACACTACAAATTTTATGATTTATACAACTGCCAACTTCATTTAATGATTTATAGAGTATTTTTCCAATAACTGTACTTTATGCCAACAACTCGGCAGATCATCCAAGTTTAGTTATAAATTAGGAGAAATTAAATATCCTCCTACATTTTATTCCTACTCATCCTCCTACCATATCAAATGTTGACATATGTCACATTTAATGATATATTTAATGAAATTAATACTAATCTATTCCACATGTCACCATTTGATATGGTAGGAAGATGAGTAGGAATAAAATGTAGGAGGATATTTAATTTCTCATAAATTAGTGTCCAAATCTTATATTCGTCACATCTAAAAAAGAACATGAATTTTACATAATTCACGAATAATTTAAACAAAATTTCTAACAGTATAAAATGGTGTTTAGTTGCAATAGATATTCTGAAATAGCTATTTTATCATTAATTAGCAACATTTCTATGGAAATGAGTTCATAATTTTTAATCAAAATAAAAAAGATTGGAACTTAGATCTTACCTCCATGGGGAACCTCACAGTGTCTTCTTTTAAATTTTCTCTGCCTTGTGATGAAATTTGTGGTGTACCCCATAACTTACTATTTTCACCGAACCTTCAACTACAAATGAATTTAAATTATTATTTCTCATGAGATTTTTTGTATGATATGAACTTTACACCATGGATATTGCCCAGATCCTAGACACATCCATGGATCTAGTGTTATTTTAGCAACAATAAACGTGGTGAGATCAAGAAAAACGGGATTTAATTGCTATGCACAAACCCTAGAATTATACATTTACAAATCCATCAATAAATACAATTTTTAGGTATGTGAATCAACTAAGCGATCACTAAATGTCATGAGAAAGCTGAGAATCATTACAATTTTGAAGCTTACGAGATTTTAGCTTAAATCACACAGAAATCTGAAATTTCGTTGTCGGTTTTACCGATTTGTTGCTGTTACTCTGCTGACAATTTCTTTGGAATATATATATGCTTTTAGAACACATTCTGTTAGTAAATTTGTGGTGAAACTTGGCACAACCTTATTTTATGTACGACCCAGTTTTGTCTCAGATGTTGGAGTCTTACATTAATTAAGTTAAAGAGAATATAAATATCATTCTACCATTTATTCCTATGAATGAAGTAAATTACACGATTAGGAACTTTTGGTAATAGTTTTGGGTCTTTAATTTTTTTTTGGAAAATTGATTTATTAGGAGGGGAGGAACTAGGATATTGTAAACGGAGTGGCAGAAATCAAAAGTCGAAAAGATATATAAAAATAAATTTATTTTGATTTAAGTTTGAACATCTAAACATTTGAACAAAAAGAGTAACAGTGGCGAATCTAGAACCAAAAACTACATGGTTCCTAATGTAAATGAATTGAAAAAAATATGAAAGAGTAAAAAGTTATGGTGGTGGTGGTGGTGGAGGGTCGGGTCGGATCGACGTATCAAATTGTATGCCTTAAAATATTTAAACATCACTTTAATAGTTCTAATAAAGTTCTTACAAGTGAACCATATGAGGTCTAATATCTTGAAACATATTTATAATTTTGTCGTTATCGATATTTTTTAAAACATTTTTTCAATATACGATAGTAAACTATCACTTAAAAATTAATCACTCATTTTTTTTACGTATACAAGAAATCTAAGATTTTAAAGCTGTGGATTGATTATGGTCGATGGAGGGGATGAACGACAACAAAGGGCGACTGGGCAATGGCTTGGTCCGACAGTGATTGTCGAATGGAAGTCGGCAGGCTCAACAGTTTAAGGCTTGAAGCCGCATGGAACGAGAGTCATTGAATGACGTTTCTAATTCTTTTTTTTTTAATTTTAGATGGATTGGGCTATATTTAAACATCAGACTTTTTCTAAATGGTTATTAGGTATAAAAAAATATGGGTTCATTGACATTCATTTTCTTAAAAAAAAATTGATATTCTTTTCTTAAAAAACTTATTAGGTAGTTCCTTTGAAAATAATAAGGTAGTTCCCATTTATTTTATATAAATACCTCTATTATAATTTTTAAAAAAATATAGGTCCTAGGACCTACCTTCCCTTAACCTGTATATTATAATTTTTAAAAAAATGTAGGTCCTAGGACCTACCTTCCCTTAACCTGTATACGCCCCTGGTAACTAAAATCGTTTTATTAGATTGGTAATTATATGATAACGAAAATTAAGAAATACTTAAAGTAACTAATAACAACAAACCCAATATAAATTGGAAAAATATTAAACATAAATAACATATACCTTTGTAGCCTTTCATTAAAGTATTTCAATAGTTCTCTACATTTTCAAGAGAAATAATGGTGTAGGCATAGACTCGAAGTTTGTAGTTGGCATTTCTAACTTTAAAGCTTCACATTACACTAGTATTAATTTAGTGATCGAAAGAAAGAACGAAAGAGAAAACGCTTGCGTTTAGAAAGAAGGGGAGAATTGAATTCCATTCCATTCCATGAGAGAGAGAGAGAGAGAGAGATCTTACAACCATAGTTACGATGCTCAGTAGGGAGGAGTGAGGAGCACACCGACAATAGCATCACGGAGGTTGCCGGTCGGTGTTGCAGACTTCATTTCAATGAACAGATGAGAGATGAGATAAAGAGTGCAAACGGAGAGGAGAGGGAGTGGTGAGGACTCCAACGATAAGTAGTCTATGTTGTTGCAAGCACTCCAACATCGATTATGTTTTTTATGTGAGCAAATATTTTCAAATTTCTTACCGTATAATTTATCTTAAGAACAACAATTATTCTGGTTTAGGATTTGTTTTTGATTCTCCTATTCTAATTTCCTGGTTTTTTGTAAGGGGTCGATTGATAGATGCTAACTGGGTTAGAGTTCACCGGGTTAGAAGTTGACTGTGTTAGAAATTATGAACGAGTTAACTCTTGACTGAAATTTTTTGTTTGATTTTGCATCTGACTGACTATGCAAAATGACTATATTACCCTCAAAAGACATGTTTTATAATGGACACTTGTATACTTTTTAACAGTGGTATACTTCACACATTCTTGCTTAAGGTTTTTAACATACAGTTAACCATATAAATTGTTTCATTATAGAAACTTACATTGAACTCATTCTTTTCATGTATAAATCTCATTCCCTTTTGTATTACAAAATTAAAATCCACATAGTATTTTCTATCCAACTACACATTAACATATATATATATATATATATATATATATATACACACACACACATTAGTATCAAAATCTTCATAACAGTTCAACCTCAAGTTTTATTGATCAAAACTAAAATCCACATAGTATGGCTTGTGGTCTTGTAGATTTTGAAGAAGTGGCAAATCATCCTCAAACACTCATGTCTAAGAAACTATGACACAATCCGGTAGCCCGATTAGGGAAACTTCATTTGGAGATAGGCATTGTTGGCATAAGATAACTTTGATTTGTACCTTGGAATTGGGATCAGAAGTGAGGAATGAGATTGAAATTACCATTATACTAGTTAGTTGAAGCCATATCTTAGATTCAGATTGAGATTAGCCTGATATTACCATTATACCACTTAATTGCAGACCATTTAATTTCCTATGAAAGAATCAGAAATTCACATCTGAAAATTGACATTTCAATGAAAACAGAAAAACATAATAAACATACAGATGAGTGAAACCAAAATCGAAACTCACCAAACCTCTATCAGATCCAGAGGTAACTAAAACCAAATTTAAAAATATAACTGAAGGATCCAAGTGCGATTTCAGATTTTTACCAAGACAGAGAAAAAAACAAAGAAATTACCTGAATGATCGACGCTAGCTTAGGAGAGGCGGATGTCAACGGCTTGTGGCGGCTATGCCTGAGGAAAACGGCAGTACAGTGATGACGTCGACGGAAGAAAACTGAAGGAGAGGAAGTCGGCGTTGCTGCAAGTTGAACCAGTGGTGGGAGAAGTTTTCGCATCTAGAGTTAAGAATAAGAAGAAGGTTTTTGACATGAGAAGGAGAGAAAGGGCAACGAAGGATATTGCTATAGTTTACAAAAAAAAAATCAATACATGTTGATGATGTTGTTGTTGATCACGGTTGCTCCTCTGTTGCTTTTGATCGCAAATGGAACTCTCGTTGCTTCGTCGAGGGGATGTTATCGAGGGAGGGGATGAAATCAGAACCTCAGTCGCAACTTTTGCAGGGCAACGTTGGTTTTTGTTTTCTTTTTCTCGGTCCATCAAATAGAAAGCAAGGACCGAGTTTGGTGTTTTTATTGGACCGAGTACACATATTGGACCGAGTCCCTACATCTATAATCTCTATCAAACATGCCAATTGGTATTTTATGGACCCAATCCCTCTTTGGACCCAGTTAGATACCATATCAAAAAACCCGTAAGTTTGTTGTATACTTTCTGATTTTTAGTTCCTCCACGTAATTTTAATAGTGCCAGAAAATAATCAGATAAGATTAGTATATAGAATTTTGGAGTTTGATTAGATTCTAATTCTTATATATAATTATGATGCCTATAAGTTAGGGATAAACAATTAAATGGTTTTAGTTATAATTATTCATTTCTCCCTATTCTAATTCTAATAAATGAATAAGTTTATTCTCCTATTGACAAGTGTCACAATATTCGAAATCCTCATTAATATTATATGCAACATATCTTGCCACATGTCAACCTATTAATTCTCCATTTAAATTTTAAATTTTAAATTTCTCACTCTTATTACATTAAATTAATAATTGATTTTTCATTTCAAATTTCAAATTTTAAATTTCACACTCTAATTACATTAAATTAATAAATTTAGAATAAAAAATAAAATAAAATTCATATATATTATAAGGTGATATAATTTAATGTATTTATATAAATCAACGATTATAATTTCATATAACTAAAAAAATATCTCCTAAATAATAATTTATTCAAAATAATTGAATAATAATTTTAAATTTTCAATATGAGAGTTTAACTAATTTTATAACTGTAATCCTCACGGGCTATAAACTAGTTATTGAATAAATAAAATCTTCTAATAGGATAATTATTCGTTATACGCGTTACAGACTATATACATATTTATATATTATATGCACGTTGAATGGAAAAATATTTTGACTATATATTATTTGTAGGAAATCTTATAAATTTATCGTGAGCGATAAATTAACATTTTGAAAAGAAATTATTTAGGAAAAATAATCTTAATGAAAGTTGTAGTAGTCGTGATGACGATTCCGTGGGTATAAAGACCGCACAAATTTGACTTTGTATGAAGAAGTTATGATTTTTCAAAATTCTGCGTTCAATCGGACATAACAATGTTTTTCATAAAAAGTGAAATAGAGATCGGTTGCTTTTTAGCAAAATCAATGTAAAGAGGAATCGAAGTACTTGTAAATACTAATCCGTCGATATAGCAAACGTCGATAACGGAGCTCGTATAAAGAAGATATGAATTTCGCAAGGTCTTTTACAATGTAATTCTTATAGAATGTAAAATAGAAATAGAATGTGAATTAGCTGACGAAGTCCAAATGAAAGTTCTAGTACTTGTCCATACGAAACTGAGGATATAAAGAACATCGAAAACGGAGCTTGTATGCAAAAGATATAATTTTTCGAAGATTTATAATTTTACCCGACATGAGCAACGTGGCACCAGCCAGAGTCTGGCACGTGCCAGGCCAAGAATCGAATACTTGTCGCATACGCATAGGTGCGGCGTGCTTATGTCATGGGCACAACGAGCCCTACCCCCTAATCAGCCTATAAATAGTGAACAAAGATGGCTCATTCCTCACACAAAATCTTCCAATTTTCTCTGAAAACTCTTCTCTAGCCTCGAGCCCAATATTCTCAACTTTCCGACTACTTTATCGACGCGTTAAGACGTCTAGGAACCCGACGAAAAGAAGTTTTCGGAGTCGAAATTATTCCAACGACTTTCCAAACTTTTTCTAGAAAACTTTGTAAGTTAATTTGCACTTACTACGATGTAAGTGTAACCTATATTTATATTCATAGTCATTATTACAAATTTATAAATAAGATTTATCAGTGCTTCCAGTCATAATATTGATTGATCAACTTACGGGAGTGTTGTCTAGGCTAGATCTAGTGAGGTGTTTAAAGTGGATTTTCCAAATAGTATACTCTGTATACCAAACGGATCCTACCTCCGATATGATCTTACCTGGTCATTCCTTATCAGCTAGAACTTGAAGTATTCTTTGGTTTTATTGAAGAATCTGGGAAATGATTAATATAATCGTTTAAATACGAACAAATACTAAAATTAAATTAATATTCGTATTTAGATCGTTTAAAAGAGAAAAGCTGAAGGGTTAGTCAAGGAGCTAACTTTCTCGCGAAATTTCATTCTCAGTCATGTGAGTGCATAGTCACTTTCATGAGCACGATTTAATATAAGTATTGAATACTTTAAGGACTAAATATATGTTGAAAGTTTGTTATTTGCATTCTATGTTGATAGTATACTTTATATGTGAATTAAATGTCTATTATCTTGAATATTTGTTAACTGTATATTTGATAATACTATATAACACTCTATTCGAGCCATATATGATTATTTAAGTTCTAAAGGTATTATTGGTTATACCACGTGACAATCTTAATATAAGCATTATGTTGGGTCAAAAATATGGTTTATATTTTACTTTTCTAGGCAGCTATATTTTTCAGTCTAGGACCGTAAACTGCCTGGTGTTTACGGCTATATGGGTGTTCACGGCCGTGAACCTGTTTGCGGCCGTGAACCCATTTGCGGTCACTATATATAGATGTAAGGGTGAGGAGTATGTACGGCTGAGAGAGAGAGAAGAGCATTCATTCATATCATGTGCTAGAGAGAGAAAGTTAGAGAGAGAACTAGTGTGTTTTTGGATCTTATGTATTGTTCATCATTCCAATCTTGAATACATCATAGATTCATCAAGTTCTTCTTCTCCTCCTTCTTCTCTATTTTGATCTTGCATCATCCAATTGATTGGGATTCCGCACCATCAATTGGATCTGATTGATACATCAAGCAAATTGAATCTTCAATAAATGATTGATACATTCCTAGGGGGAGAATTAAATTTTTTAAAAATCAAACAAAAATCAAAAAATTAAAAATCCAAAAATCGTGTTATTTCTGTTTTATTTCTTGTTCAGAAAAATAAAAAAAATCCAAAAATATTTTTGTTTTATTTCTTTTTCAGAAAATATGAAAAATCCAAAAATATTGTGTGCTAACTTTTCTTTTAGTCTTGTTTTTATCTCAAATTTTTCTTTGTCTTGAGAAGTGAATTCAGATGTAGATGAGACTCATGGAGACTGTGTCGAAATTTTTTGAGCCAAAGCTTTATCCGTGATCATTGAAGAATTCTCATTCGAAGGAACAAGAAATGAAGATTATTCTTTCAACATTCAATCTTTCTACCCCAGAAGCAAGGTCAAGCTGTATTTGAAGATTATGTGACAGATTGCATTGAAGCCTCCTCAATCAATTTGCTGCTATCTATGAACCTGTTGAAGTGATCCAGGAGATTCGTTCTCTCTAAAGATTCTGAAGCTGAAAGCACCATTTTTTTTCAAGAATCTCTACAAGAAGCCTCCTCACCTAATGTGCGTTCAGAGTCAAATTTTGAAGAAAAGCCCAACTGCTCAAGATGAAGTCATTTATTGAAGATTCATCAAGTTCAACTTGAAGCTGTGAAGAAATCGAAGATAAACATTGAAGCCAAACTCCAAATGAAGATTGAAAAGAAAAACCAGCTACTTTTTAGGGGGAGTTTGTTGGGTCAATTAGAAAAGAAAGCTATAAACCAAGGGGGAGATTGTTGGGTCAAAAATATGGTTTGTACTTTACCTTTCTACACTTTAATAGTTTTCGGTCCATGTGGTGTGTGCGGTTAGGAGGGTTCACGACCCAGGTGGGTGTTTACGGCCGTGAACTAGTTCACGGCCGTGAACCTGTTTACTGCCCATGTTCCATATAAATAGATGTTAGGTGGTAGAAGGAGTGAACGGTCAAGTGGGGCTAAGTGTGTGTTTACCAAGGTGTTTTTAGAGAGAGAAAGTGAATCTTGTGTAAGGAACATAATTCTAATCATCAAAACATTCAAGATTCATCTACTTCTTCTTCTTCTCCTTCTCATTTTGATCTTGCATCATCCAATTGATTGGGATTCCGCACCATCAATTGGATCTGATTGATACATTAAGCAAATGTGGGACTTACACATTATTACTTAGAAAGATTTAAGGTATACCGAATACTTAGCGGTTGAATTATGTGCGGAATATAAACACCTATAGGATGAAAGTATTTCATATAATAGGAAAAATGTTTTGTAAGTTGATTGCGTGCATTATAGTTTTGTCTAGTGATAAATTAAGACTTATAAATGATGCTTAGTTCGAAGTAAGTTGAATAAATGCTTAGTTAGACCCTGTGTCGTAATGATATTGCATTTATAGGGAATTCATATTGAAAGTTGACTATTTATATTATAGTATGGTCTAGTTATAAACTAAGAGTTACAAGGGACTTTGAATTTAAAGTTATTTGAATAAATAGGTAGTAATCATAAAAGGGGTGTATATGAGACTGGAACATAGAGTAGTTGTTATAGACAACCATGTGGAACACTGGCAGACTCATTACTTGTAGGTCAGAACACTGGCAACAAAGCATATTTATCAACTTGTGATGCGGATGTTCTTCCTTCAAAAGAACACCGAGAGAGTTAATTAACTGCATCATCCTCATGTGCTTTAGCAACATTTTCCTCTTCAATTCCTTTCTTCTCTACATTCTCAGCAGAAAGTCATTGCTTCTCTTCCTCTATTTTTTTAAAGTTTCGTCTTCTTCTCTCGTGGCCATTTCAACTGCTTTTGTTGCAGCATCCCAACTTCCTCTGACAACAATTTCCTCTTCCATTTG